TCGTTTTATAAAATCGAGATTTTAAATATATATTTCCATGAAATTATCAAATATTTTCAGCGTCACTCCACACCCTTCGGAGTTTGACCACAACAATAAACGGGTTTGCGTTACAGTCGAGGCAGCACGCCTGCGTTATAGAGAAGGCGTACTTCCCTCAGATCTGACAGAAAATGCGGCTTTTGTCACTCTCTGGAAACACTCACCATAGTAAGAGGAAGGGATTTCAGTTTTCCGTGCCATTGCACCGTGGACAGAATGACCGTGATGCGCCTTCGTTGTTATGATGGCATGTGAGGATAAAAGCGGGAGCAGAGTCTTCTCTTTATAATCACCTCTCTCTTTTAACTGTCTAAACCACGCAGTGTAACGTCAGTGCTGTTTACAGCAGAGCCAAGCGTCATTTAGTGCGCTGTGTGGGAGCTCATACCCTAACAGCATCAAAATAGTCTCCTTAAAGGAGACGCGCACATTTCCCATTTTGGGTATCTTTCTTCCTGCTGATGCATCCAGAGACACATCCATTCACATTTATAGCATACGCACCACATTTACGTTTATCAATTAATGATTTATACAGTCGTTTTAAAAGTTATAGTCATTTTTATTACATGTGTGTAGTATTGCAATTTCTTGATCACACTTCATATAACATAGGCATAAATTGAAGTTACATTTCAATGGTTAACACTGGTAACGTAAAACATGCGCTGCTCTTCCGTTTCTTAACTCGGACCTCAGTCCTCCCTGAAGATGGGACTTCTACTCACATTGAAGGACATGTGTGGTTAGCGGATGAATTACCTAAACCTTGTGATGCTGATAACCTTTTCGATTATCGTTTTTTTCCCGTCCGCCTAAACATGACAGATCCATATGCAAATTGTAATCTGCTTGCTAAATATTCAGTGTAATCAGTTATGTTCCCGAGGGTGACGCTTTGTTTTATACGGTTACAGTGATATGTAGACTAGTCACTTCTGTATCAAAGCATATTCATTTTCTCTCTTATATTCATGCAAGGCTGTGGGTCTTAAGGAGAGTAAGATGGGATAGGCCTATGTGAAAATCAATTAACTTCTATGTATCTCAACCAGTTCTTGTATCTTATCTATTACTCGAACCATGTGTTCCCATGTCGCCCAAGGCAAAGCTTTTTTGGGCCGGGTTATGATATGGGCACAGTGGTGCTCATGGTGGAGACAGTGCTGCCGGGCCATCAGAGGTCAGGGACTCTACACCTCGCCTCAGTTCCTCAAGCCTGACCACTCTTGGACTGCTATAGGGATCCGGGCCACCATCAGGGGTCAGGTACTCTACAACTCGCCTCAGTTACTCGAACCTGACCACTCTTGGATTGCTATAGGGATCCGGGCCACCATCAGAGGTCAGGGACTCTACAACTCGCCTCAGTTCCTCGAACCTGACCACTCTTGGACTGCTATAGGGATCCGGGCCACCATCAGGGGTCAGGTACTCTACAACTCGCCTCAGTTCCTCGAACCTGACCAATCTTGGACTGCTATAGGGATCCGGGCCATCAGAGGTCAGGGACTCTACACCTCGCCTCAGTTCCTCGAACCTGACCACTCTTGGGCTGCTATAGGGATCCCAGGCTGGCAGCAGAATCTACAGAGATAGAGGAGATTTAGACACCAGGAGTCCGTTTCTAGGGCATCACACACTGTCAGAAAAAAGTACCAATTTGTACCCCAGTGTAGGCTCTGCCTGTTGTATACCAGCTGTAGGTAAATGAACCTTTTAGTCCAATTTAAGGTACAGAAACAGACTCTGAGGAACATCCCCAAGGTACAAACAACATCTATGTACCATCAGTGGTACAAGAATGTCCCTCATAGTCCATTTCTGTATTGTAAAAGGTACAATTACCTTCAGCTAGGATACAACTGGCAGACCCCTGAGGGTACAGCCCCAGTGACAAGCCATGGTACAAATTGGTGCTCTTTTTTCTGACAGTGTAGTGGTGAAGATGATTAAGCAGCCCAGGTCGTTTTTTTCCTGAACATTTCAAAAGCCTTTTACTTGTCGACATGTCAATTTTTCAGAAAATGTAGCTTTATACCCATTACTTTTATTACAATGATTTGAAAAGCAGCACGGCAGTTTTCTAATGTTTTTGGATTTACTCGTCGTTTCGGTAAACATTAAAGGTACTAACCGGCACGAAACGGGACGACACTGCACAGAGGAACGCAATGTCTTTCTAATACAGGATTTGGCGGCCTCTAGTGGTAAAATTGAATTGAATAAAATGCATTTCTTTTTTTTTCTGCTACTTAAATTTTCACCTTTTTAAGTCAAGTGCCTTTTAAGGGTGATAATACAGTAACTGGCATTTCATAGTTGTGCAGTTTATTATTAGTAAAGAATAACCGCCCTATGATTTGGATGAATAGGCTCTGGTGTCAGTCATGTGTAGTGGTCATACTACAGCCAGTTTTTTTCTTATGTTATTTAATTGAATACCTTTAAGGTTCACGTTTTACATTATTCCCTGGTACCAAGACAAACAAGCCGTACTACGGAAGCGTATTACTGCCACGACATAATAATGTGATGTTTTCACGTTATAACGTAACATTTTCACGTTATCACGTGATACGATTTCTCCTTTTAATGTGATGTTTTCACGTTATAACGTGATAGTGAGAATATTTTTATTATATCGTGGCAGTAATACGCTTCTGTACAAAACAAATGATGAAACATATGACAATGGTATTCCGCTGTGTACAAAGGCATCAGGTAAATGAATTTTTATTACAGGACGTTTTGTGTGCAGATTGACTTCTTTACCCTTTTAAAAGTACATAATTGTCGTGATGTGTCATTTTGTGCAGCAAACTGAGACAAAATTAACTGAAAACTCGCGGTGTATTCTTTACTGTAGAGGACGGCAACATACTGAACATCTTCAATTGGCAGCTTGGGTGCTTTTCTTACGAAGGTATTGCAAAAGACATAGATAGATCTCAACAGAATACACATACATGAACAAGAGGCGGCATTTCAGTATGTCAAAGAATATTGAGTTTGACAGCTGATTACAAATGAGGTAGAGAAACTGTCGCTTTTCCTTTGGGAAATGTATGATTAAAGTTCTGACATTCAACATAAATTCTGAAAACTAGAAAGTGAACTCCCACATGAAAGTCGATTATTAATGCGTAGCCCCTAGAATCCGTCATATGCATCCGTCGCGAGTTCGTAACGACATACTGCAAGTGGGTGCCTTAACTAAGGAAAAAGAGAACGTAATTAACTCTCCGGAGTATTAAATTCTCACATTGAACATGTTTTCGGTAGATATAATACTGCAGACATACTTTAAAAATCGCAAGAAGCTGAATTTCCTGATTAGTACTATATTAAAGTAGGAGAAATTATTTTCTGATTTTGTTTCATTTGGAGCGGCACAGAGTGATTTGATAAGATTCTGAGAAATACCGAGACACAGAAAAGATTATTTTTCCATTTGCTGGGGGTTCAGTCACATACTGTGCAGTGAGAGCAGAGATGAAATTATGCTTCCTGTCCCAGGAGGAAAAACAGATCGCAGCCCCGCTATCCTGAGCAGCGCCTCACGTACAGTACAGGCTGAGCCTGACACCGATTCCATGGGTTCTACTGCTCTGTGTTTCTGCTGAAGCACTGTGTTGTTTTTTTTTAACTCTATATAATATCTGAATACTAATGAAGCAGTGCTTTAAAAACACTACCACTAAATTATGATGACGCCAGTTAAACTGCATTCATTCATGGGAACATATACAAATAATATCAACACAATAACATGAAGACAATGTTTCATGCAGTTGAAATCAAAGATATTTGCAATTAGCAGACAGGGATTAACGCTATAATTGGATATACAATTGAAATTGGATATCCATTGAAAATATATTTCATCCATAAAATGCAATTAACAAACCAAAATGTGATAGACATCAGGGAAGAAAGTTACTTGCAAATCCAGGGAATTTAAACGTTAATCCTGAGTGCTGGGCATTGCAGGAGACACACACTTTCGTATAATAATCGTAAAGACATTCATTTTTACCAGTAATTTTCTCAGCGTCAATTTATAAAACTGGCGGTCCGTGGGAATTTACACATCAGAAATGCCACATGACACCCTTACAGTAAGCAGACTGGATGATGCAGTGTTGCCATGGCTACACAAACTGAAAATGTCATCAGTACAGTAAACAGAGGAATGTGAAGCCAACCAAATACCTGGGAACTCTCTCTTTCTGTTTCTCCCTCTCTCTTTCTCTGTGTGTTTGTGTGAATTCCATTTCTGCGAAACAAATGAAAAAACATTTAAAAATCGGTAATTAGACAACGACTTTCAACTTTGGCTCCGAGTCCCGCTAGGGGACCGCAGAGACGTTTCATTAATTGTCGAAATGAGTTATAATCCGATTAAGAGAAAAATACTAAAATGGAGTAAGAAGCATGGAAGTCCACTAGGTCCTTAATTATCTTTTCATGCATTTGTGATTGCGAGTCCCAACACTCGTAGCCTATATTTTCATCTGGGGATTCATTTTCCAAAAAAATTTGAAAACCCCCAATAATTTGGGAGTTCATCGTTCAAAAAAGGTTGATAACCCCTAATAATTCTTTCCTGCCTTGACACTTTAGGTTACTAATAAAGATTTGTATGACGAGAAATTGCTAACATCCCATGTTTAGTTTAAATATACTGTATATCACATCTAAAATACATTACGTCATCTGACTCTATGGATCAGAAAGCCAATTCCATTTCCCGATAAACATTTTTTCTTTAGATGTCCACGAAATGTGTAATCAATTAAAAATATAAAATGAAAACTATAACAATTAAAAATTGCGTTACATAACAAAGTAGGTTAGAAGTCAAGGTCAGCTGACGGAGAAGCCATGTGGTAAAATGGGCAATGCTGATTGGTCGGACGCAGCAAAGTGGAGGGCTCTGATTGGCTGTATCGACATTTTTTTCTCACTAAGGCAAAGGTCAGGCTGATGTTTGTGGGACTGTGCAGTGAGCCGTCGGTGCTTTGAAGGGATAACAACAATGTTTCGCAAGGTAAGCTGTTGTTGGGTAAAGCCCCGCAGTAACTTAAAACAACCATAATAAATTGTTGCTTTTCTTTCGCTTTACCTTGTTGTATTTTTCTCTGCACATCACGGCTTTCTCGGGTTTAAATGCGCGCTTTATTTTGATAAAGCCTAGTATACTCCTGCTGTCTACCTTATATGACAACTGTTTGTCTCTTTCTCTTATTTAAGAGTACGCCGTCGCATTAGTATCGCTTTTGATTCTGGACTTGAATCGAGCCCAGACCACCCGCGTGAAGCTGTCGCGCAGTTTGCTTTCCGATGGGGGTCCACCTAGATGGGGGGTCACCGTCACCCTCGGGAGATTTTGTGTGACAGCTGAAAGATATGGGGGCATAACCGCATGCAGGTCCAAAAACCGCGGCCAAGCTCTCAGCACGCGTGCAGTCAGCATCTGGCCGGTTCCATACATTATTGCATTTAAACCCTCATCCATGCATTTCAAGGTGCTGCAGTCTTGCGCCCGAACCGGCCTGCGGTTCCAAGGCACCAAGGCCAGTCCGGCCAGCAGCTCCGCCAGGGCGGCCCAGGGAGGCTTCAGCTTTGGTGAGTCCCCTCTGCCCAAGATAGTGACCTTACCCATCTCCAGAGCAGAGATATTAAACTGTAGGCACTCCCACAGAGCTAACCGATCAACAGAAGGAGTTTCAGGAACTAGCGCGGAAGTTTGCCAGGGAGGAGATCGTTCCTGCCGCTTCGAATTATGACAAGAGTGGAGAGGTGCGTTTCTGGCTGGAGAAATGGTGTCAGTCAGGTACTGATGGACAATCACCGTACAATGATTATGGTAATCATATTAAATTCTCATCTCTTAGTACCCGTTTCCACTCATCAAGCGAGTGTGGGAGCTCGGCCTGATGAACAGTCACATCCCTGACTCCTGCGGTACGTCGTCTCTGC